CCCTCCATCTTTCTGAAAATGGACTGTATGATTGGGTATTCAATAAGACGAAGGTAGAAAGGTTACAATTACTATTGTTATTATTATTTATATTGATAACCCGTGAATTCATCTTCAGTACGAAAACAACGGCAAAAGGACTGGATTTGTAGCCCTGAGAACACGAATAATCTGGTAGATTTAGCGTGATAGTTATTGCAGGATGAATGGAAAAGGGCCTCCAACTGTTTCAAAGCACAAAAAGGACACAGGCAAACATATCATAATTAATACCAGAGTGACTGAGTGCGGTTAAAGAAAGGAATACAGCAGCCGAAGGTGAACTTTTTTTAAACGGGAATGTAACCTCGAACTAGGTAGGCTGCAACTGTCTGTGTGCGACGAGTGAAACTTACCACTGGTGAATTTCGATTCTGTGAGAGAATTGGAGGATCTGATTTGTTTATAGGATGAATTCGTCTTGTAAATGAGGCGTGAACTGAGAAGCTGTTTCAACCTGGTTAGGTCTCATCAGTAGTGCGAATCTATCGACCCAGCTGAGAATCGAACCCGGGGCCTCACAGGCAGAACGCAAGCATGCCACCGGGCAGATGACTGGACCGTTTTTCATTTTCCATTTACACGATATAGCACAATCCATCTTTGCGAATTTGTTGCGGGCATTGCATCCCGCTCATCTCAGCACTAGCCTCCACAGTTATGACTCGGCAGGAAACTTTCACAATCTGATTATCTATTTTATGAGAGTAATGGAGGATTTCATTTGTTTATATGATGAATTGCTCGTTTGAGGTCCCGGGTTCGATCCCCAGTTGAGTTGATGGATTCACACTGCTGATGAAACCCAACCAGGTCGAAACAGCTGTCCACTGTTTCTCAGCTTTTAAGCTCACACCTCATTTGCTATATACACGACGAATTTCCCCTTTGAAAATTAATCAAACCCTCCGTTACTCTCATACAATTAGGTTGTGAAAGTTTCCAACCGAGTCATAACCCTGGAGGCTAGTGCTGAAATTTCGTTTCTCTCATTCAACTTTCTATCATCCTATTATTGAGGTGTACAGACCTCAAGGTAGGAAATGAGTTCGAAGTGTGTCGTGACAACCCGACGCCACAAAACGCCAGCATGGATTAACATCTGTGTGATGGTAACGCTCGACATAGAATGATTTAATCTGTTGGTGTCATAATTCCGGTTTTCTTATCGTGCACGCATCCTTTAACCAACAAAAGCCTGAACAAAAATAGAAACGGTGTTCACATCTGAGTGAGGCACGCTGGTAACAAGCAATTCGCACGTTCAGTGCGGACGCGTTTATTCCCGATGGAATAAAGAGTAGCTCCCTTGTGGTAGAAGACCAACCGACTGTCCCGAAGTACTTAACTGTAAAGGTATTGCTGTACTACTTACTCAAACAACAGGCTTAGGATAAAGGCAAACGGCGTAATTAGTAGAAATAACGATCGATTTGCACAATCGTTCGTTATAGTCCACTTCTCATGCAAGCACCTTTTCAGAAGACAATCGTTTTCTAGGGCTCTGATATCAGCACACCGGTTCATAGGGACGTAGTTGGAGCTTCGCAACTCTGCAAGGCATCCGGCCTCCGCATCTGGGGTTGTGTGAGATAGTTACTTATATCCTGACGGTTTAAAGCCAAGCGTCAGCCCGGATCTTAAACTCCGCACTACCAATTTTTACCTCATATATGAAAAAATATTATCTGTTCATCATAGATATTCTTTTGGAGGGTGTGTGTGGAGTAGGAGCATTGGTTGTTCACTCAATCCTATATACAAATGGGATGAGTAAAGAAATACGCAGCCTCCACAAATGAATGCTTCAAACACAACGCCACGAAAGGCCGACAACTTTGGGCTGAGTGGTCAAACGGAATGCGAAGCGAATTCATTCGCTTTTCACCCTTCTTGACTCATCCAATAATTTGTCCCTTCTTTCACGAAGGAGTTTTCACGTGACGCTTTCAAATTTTTCACCTCAGGTAAGTGGCTTTGTTTTTCCTCCGAGTTTGGGAAGGGGAGGGGGTACTGGTGGTTATAAGGGAGGAAAATCTGATACAACCCGCGCGCGTAATTCATCTTCCACTCAAACACATTCCTGTCGAATATTATTCTAGCTGCTCACTTGATTGCTTGCCGACTTATGCCGCCGATGTTGTCGTTCACATCGACAGTGAAGCCTGTTTGCAAGTCTTTTCATTACTAATATCAATTTTCTACATCAGATAAATTATCTAAAGAGATTCATCAAGTCGACCCAGTACCGAGCTCAAATGAGTAAGGACCGATCAATTAGATGATAGAAAACAAGTTCGAAAAAATCGGTTGTAATGCACATCACACGCTCCAACGCACATGGTTTGGTAGGGAGGATATGTGTCACATTCCTTGTTGTTAGTTTACTGTTCAGCGGCGGTCATGAGATCAGCTCAATTTCGAGGGTGGGGTGGGAGGGGTGATTTGCGGGAGAGGCAGAGAGCGAGATAGAGAGTATATCGCGTGGAGCAAGGAGCATATTGCGATGAGGTCAGTGAGGTTGCGAAAGCGAAGGGGGCAGAGGGAGGACAGTGATAAGTGGACAATATTTAGGAATGGGAAGAGAGATAGGTCAACAAAACAACAGTCATTATGAATATAGGAAGACTGAAATTAGTAGTAGTGATGGTGGTCAGGGAAGGTTGCAAAAGTAGGCACGAAGACGAAGGCTGACAAATGATTGAATAAAATGGAGTGGAGCTTTAGTGGCCTTGACGCGTTCAAGGTTGGAACTGGTTGAATGAAATTTGCAATAAACCGAAACCTGTGCACGGAAGGAGAAATTCAGCCCATCACTCCAGCACTCAGTTTTCCACTTTTTGAACCTAAACCACTCGTCTGAGAAATTGTCTGGACACCGAAACACTCCAAGTGATAGTTCGAGTCACCGGAGACCACACGCCGAGCTTCCTGACTTCCCGGTTCGGGTGCAATCGGGCGAGCGCACACGGCGCACCGGGGTGCATAACGTCTGTGAAAGTCGTCTAAACAGTGCAGTCGACCGTGTATATCGATCGTGAACGGACGTGAATCGAGGCGACCGGCACAGACCACACAAACGAAACAATTCGGATGATACGGCAATCCCAACGCGTGCACAATTCGATCGCCAATCGGACGACGGCAATTGGAACATGTTTCTACCGCTCCATCACGCACACAGGCCGGGCAGAGAAGCCGTCGCAAACTGTGATAGTACGCATCCGGACGAAGTGGAGCAGCACATCTGTAACAAGTGAAACAAGCCACATGCAAACGAACGGACAGAGCCCCGGTCAGTGTGACCACATTTGAGCTATTGTTGGCCGTGCTCACACTGGGGTTTAGTGTGCTTCCGTCCGGTGGAATCAAGGCTCGACGACAACGGAAACAGGAGTTCGAGGACTGAGTGCCACTACTATTCGCGCCGACTAGAGTCGAGCCTAAAAGACCGACAGAGCCTGGTTCCGATGCAGCATTGTGCACACTTGAGGTAGACCCGGTGGGAGAATTAGTGGATGAACTGCCCGTGGTCGATGTGGCTTGAATGGTTCCGGTTGTTGTGGTCAGTGGACTACCCCGACCTCCGTTCAACGAGGACCCAATATGTTGTTGAAGCCGTCCGATTTGGCTGGTCAAACCGAGAGACGTACTGGGTCCGCTGCCACGCCGTAGACTACCCACTGCATATAGGTTAAAAGGTGAAATTAGAAATAATCAGTGATAATTGTCACTCGAACTTGGAACCAGTTAAACTGATCTATTAAACTAATTCAAACTCTAACAACACGGAATATAGGCAAGTAAAACAGGGTGGATATACAGTATGACACTCCGAAACAGTGAATGCGAATTATTGAAGGATCGTGGTTGAAACAAGTAACATAGGAACCATATCAGGTTCCGGACACAGCACAGTCTAATTACTCCGTTTTCTGATCGACGGTCACTACTACTAATGAAATCTTCAGCAGAATTGGATCCAAGCACAAATAAAGTTAACAATCCCCGCGTTCCTCCCAAAAGGAAACTAAGAAGTAAATTAATGGCACGATTTGAAAGCCCTGTAAACGAAGCAATAAAATATAGAACGATTTTAGCTGCCGAATTGGAGATCGATTCGATGCCCACATCTGCTTGCCTATCTCCTTGAGTAGTAAGGTTATTACTTAGAGTCGAACAGAACCACTGTCATGGAAGATCAAAATGCTGCTGTTTTTCTCAATTTACTATAATGTCATCTTGCTCCGTTACGCCAACATGCATCTCAATTACTATTCGATTTATCAAATAACTATTCACTTTATTTGTACAATCTGAGACGTTTAGAGCATTGAATGTCATACACTGATATGTTCGAACGGACAATCGGGCTTCGACAAACACGCGCACAATCGCACAAGGATGAACATGTAAACCTTACCGGGGGAAGAAGTTGCGCCTTCCGGTCCGGTCACCGAACCCGAAAGACTGCCCAATCCGGAGCTGGATGAACGCGTTTCCATGTTTTGCATAAGGAGATTGGTCAATGCGTCCACCTCGGCCTCGGGATCATTAGTTATGGGACGTTGCCCGCCAAGACGACCAGTGGTTGTAACAACTGACGAAGTCCGGAAAGAAGGGGATCGTAAACTGCCAGCCTCACTTTCGGGTACTGGCGTACCCGGAGTGGAGTCACCCGAAACACTGGATGTACGGGATCCGCCCAGGTGAACAACTGGGATAGATATGGGTTGCCCGCCTGTACTGCTCAAGCTTGTTGAGCTAATACTGGAGGTACCGAGGGAACCGGACCCCGGCTTGTACTTGTAGATATTGTCTCCTTCGGTGGATGTGCGCATTGGGTAAAGTTCTGACGCCTGAGTTAGTGTGTATGGAGAAGAAGTGGAAAAACGCCATGAGGATATGTAACAACGGAAATTGGAATTTACCATAACGCAGTTATCTCATTCTTTAATCATCTCAAATTAATGACCTCTACCTTAAACGTTGTAGTCAGGTTTCATATCGGATCAATACTTCCCCCCGCCTCAGAAGACAGTGTTAGATGTGAGGTTAGAGCCTCAAAACAATAGGCTTTCAAGGAGGCACTGTGTCGCATTAAGTGTGGGCAACTTGGAACGACCTGATCATCCGGTCAGTGTGTTCAAATACGATAGTGTTCCGACTGCGAAACTGATAGCTCGATCGAAAATCGGATTCACACTGCCAATGCTAACCAACTAGGTTGCTTTCTAGGAGGATTTTCATTTGGGATTCAATTTGTTTTGGATTGCGTAATCTACGAAAACACTCCATAGTTCTCTTCAGCAATGCATTGATTCTTCAATTGCCCAAGAGCAAATATATTGTTTGACAGTCAGACACCGCATCCAGTCCCACGATCCGTCTCTCAATGAATCCAGTCAAAAGATAATTATAGGTAGGGCGAGCGTTTATTGGAAACAGCAGAAATGTGCATTTGACTGACGGAGAACGGTGTTATATCCATAGGGTTGTGCACAGTCTATATTCGTCCGGAATGGAAAATACGACAGCATTGAGGGAGGGAATGGGACGATTGGATTGCAGTATTCTGCCAGCTACTCTAGATCTCACGGATCCAATAATATCGAGAAAAACACCAGCACTTTCTCACGGTGGTGGTGGGTCGAAATCCATTTCAAATTGATACCGTGGAAATTCCCAGGGGAGAGTTAGGCATCTCCTGTCAAAATATAAGGTTGCTTTCATCTGTCGTCGACCGTAATTAGAAAATATTGACATTTAACTCAAAGCTACTAGCGAGCCGATGTGTCGAATAAATGATATTGACTTGGACTAATAATGTTTCGGACCTCACCTTCATGCATGATGAGGTTGCACCATGACGCGATGCGATGGAGTGTTCACCTTTGGGATCCTGTCCGCTAGAAATGAGGGTTTTTATCGAACATCAATGGAAGCCAAGTCACCTCACTTTCTATTCCATGTGGCGCTACCTGATGGACTGACTTGAGTCGACTTCACCGTCGGTAAAATCACGGAGGAACAACCTACTGAGATAGATGGACCTCCATTATGCTTTGTCTGCTGTTTCGCGGTTAGTTTCTTATCAGAACTCAAGGCTTTGATTAAGAACTCTAAGTGGTTCCCTACTTGATGGTTGGAACCCTCAGAACTACCCATTCCATCAAAATCTATTGCATACGCAAACGAAAACAAATTATATCTTGCACCGGTCATGGGGCAGGATAATCAGGAGCTCGTTATGCCTTGCATCGAGCGGGGTGAGTAGTGATGAGTGGACTACTCTTATGACATCTCAACGTTTGTTTAATTTCTTCTCTTCAAAACCCTCTAAAATAGGTTTGATCCGTAGGAATCTCTCGGGTAACTTATTCATCACTCGCAAAAGCTGGTTGTCAAGCAGCACTGTAGGTGGTGCATCACCGATTGTGTTGTATGTTCTCAAGCCTTGTAAACCGTTAAATCTAGGGGCCTTAAACGAGAAGAATCATGAAGGCAATTCAAAAACCTTGTCTTGTCTCGAGAACACAACAGAATTACTAATGATTGATGTATACTGTACATCGGGAACTATAATTCAAGATTCAAGTTGTAAAAACCATGTGACTGCACCTGGTTTGTCTTCGAGACACCTTTTCACACTTCAGGAGACGAGGAGGCTCGCTCACGTCACGTAGTAAGTGGCCAGCTGGAGAAAAGCTGTGCGACTTAGGGTACGTTGATGACGTCGCCTGTCCGTGTGAATGTATGTTAAACGCACAAAATGCTCTGGACAGGCTAACAAGTTCTGTAACTCCATTTGGTATGCAATTTGCACTTTCAAAGTGTAAACTTCGGTGAGGACTATTCCCGCTTTTGAACTCGAGGATCAGGACAGTATCCGTGAGGGAACGTGATAACTCGTTATTTCATTTGTTCTATCATCCGAAACCAATGTATGCAGATTCTGTAGGATTCAAAAAAGTTCAGTTTTGTAAATTACGGATAATAAAAATTTGAACTTGACTGATGTTTTTACGTTATTGGTTGCTTCTTTAATGGTGGTAGCTCATTCAGGAGGAAAGCGGTTGCGGGAAACACGCGCATCCAAGACTCTAGCTGCGGACGCAAAACTGCAGTACTTAGGTCGTCGACGTTATAATTCCTTCGAGTTTGTTGTGAGATACCACTCACACTTGTGAGCAGTTCGCAATAAGATGCGATTGACGCTTACTTTCAACGGTCAAAATTGAACAAAATCTGTTGAAGCGCATTGCTGCTGTTCAGTATGGTAACTATAAGGATACACATCTAACAGTGGACCGTTTCATTAACTATCCTCTGAGCGTGTGGGAATTCTGAAAACTCGATCCAAAGGAGGTATCATCATCATTATCGTACAGCGAGATACAGTGAAGCGAACCTCACTGATCGCTGCCAAGCTCACAATGTACACAAATCAAGTGGTAAAGCAAAAGATGGAGAGGGATTGGGCCTACTTGGAGGGAGAAAAAGAACCTCTATGGTCAACACACAGAGTATACAATCTAAGTGTGCATACATACCTTTTCAAGCATTCTGACTTGATAAGAAATGACAACAAGAACACCACTGCTGTTGATTAGTCGCCATATCCTTCAATGTCTCCAGCCAGCCAGCTGCAGAGTCTTTCGGATCCCAACCTGGAAGACGGGAGATACCGATTCTACCTAATCGCTCTGTGCGTTTCTTCATGCCTCACTTCCACGTCATCTGTTGACCTCCACACGGCTTCTTC